GCAGGGGAAGAGCCCCCACAGCCAGATCTCAGAGGTAAGTATGGTGTGCACTCCAGATGTGGGTGCTAGAATGGGGATGCTCCTCCTTCATAGATCAAAATAGGAGGAGAAATGCTGAAGAGGAATGGTTTTCCTGGGTAGCGAGTTTTGTGACCACAGGCAGCTTTGAAAACAAGGTAAAAAAAAATGCATGTGACATTTCTGAGTGTTCCAAATGGCTCCCTTGCTTGGAATGGTATGTGAGCCCCTCAGGTCTGAAGAGTAAGCGGTAGGTCCCCTGACCACCTGGACTAGGCACCTGGGACACCCATCATTTCCCATGCAGAGAACTTGGTGCAGCAGTAGTTGCTCTGTTTCTTGCCCAGCCTTATCTCCAGCCACCTGCTGACTGCCTCTAAACCCCTGTCAGAGCTGGTACTCATGCCCACTGTTGGGCAATGTGAATGCTGACTTGCCCAGTCCAGCTCTGCCCAGATTTGTCCTCCACTCAGACACAGGACACAGCCCACTGAATGTTCCATGGTTCAGCCATTGTCTGGGCAATGAAGTACATCTCATGGTTAACAAAGATCAAGCATAAACTTTATTCCTACAAGAGCAACTGGCTTTCACCTACAAGTGCCACCTACTGGTCTGGAGGTTAACCTACAAACCCCATAGTAAATCAGCTAACACAAATGCATAGCACTTGGGAATAACCTAACATTCCCATGCCCTTTGCTTCCACAATCATCAATGCCACTGTGGCTTCTCAGGACATTGTGAGCCTGCTTACCTTCCAGGTACACCACTACTATAAACGGCATTTGAGAAAGCCACCACACTAAGTCTATTTATAACCAAGGAAATCATACAAAGTCTTACCACTTAACATGCCCGGAAGTAAACAGCTCTACTCAACAGGCTTCACAGTTATGTCCTCAAGGAAAAAAAGTTACATTTCAATAAAATTCAAAAATAAGAAGTTACTATTTCTCCAGATGTGAAGAAATCATAATAATACAAGAAGTATGAAAAAGCAGGGTGTTACAGCACCCACAAAAGAACACAGTAATTTTCTAGCAATGAATCTGAATCAAAATAAAATTTTTTAAATATCAGATAAAGAATTCAAAATATTGATTTTAAAGAGATTCAATGAGATAAAGAAGTATTCTGAAAACCAGTACAAAGATATCAGAAAATCAATTCAGGATATAAATTTTAAAAACTTGCCAATGAGATAGACATCTTAGAAAAAACAATTTCTGGAAATGAAAAAAATGAAGAAATTATAAAATACAGTTGAAAGCTTCAACAATTCACTAGACCAAGCAGAAAGGAAAATTCTCAGAACTTGAAGACAGGACTTTTGAATTAGTCCAGTTAAATAAAAATAAATTAAAAATAAATTTAAAAAGAATGAACAAAGCCTTGGAGAAGTATGGGACTACATAAAGCAACTGGTGTTACTAATGACTGGCGTTCCTGAAAGAGAAGAAAAAGCAAAAGTTTAGAAAAACTACTTCAGGAAATAATTGACAAAACTTCTGCAGTCTAGCAAGAGATTTAAACATCCACATACAGGAAGTCCAACAAACACTAGAAAAAGATATTGCAAGATGCAATGTACCATGAGAAATAGTCATCAGATGTCGTCTAAAGTCAATATGAAGCAAAAAATCCTAGAATATCAAGACAAAAGTGTCTAGTCACCTATAAAGAAAAATCCATCAGACTGACATCAGACTTCTCAGCAGAAACCTTACAAAACAGAAGAGATTGGGATCCTATCTTCAGATTGCTTAAAAAGAAACTATCAACCACACATTTTATGTCCTGACATAATAAGCTTCATAAGCAAAAGAAAAATAAAATATTTCCCAGACAAGCAAATACAAAGAGAATTTGTCACTATTAGGCTGGTTCTATAATAAATGCTCAAAGGAGTTCTAAACATGCAAATGAAATGTCAGTATAAAAACACATTTAAGTATAAAACTCACAGGTCTTACAAAGCAATTTAACAAAGGAGGAAGAGAAAGAAATTAAATGGCAACATGACAAAACTCTGCCAACCCACAAAGACAGAGAAAAAAGAAACAAAGAATTTATGAAACAACTAGATAACAACATTATAACAAGAAGAAAACCTCATGTATCAGTGTTAACCTTGAATACAAATGAGTGAACGATCTACTGCAAAACTGAGGCGTGAACAACAACAACAAAAAGTACAGACCAATATCCCTGATGAACATATATGCAAAAATCCTCAATGAAATACCAAGAAATCAAGTCCAACAGCACATCAAAAAGACAATACATCATGATCAAGTGGGTTTTATTTCAGGGAGGCAAGGATGATTCAACATACACAAGTCAATAAAGGTGATTCATCACATACACTGAATTAATGGTGAAAACCATATGACCTTCTCAATAGATGCAGAAAAAGCTTTGATAAAATTAACCATACCCTGATGATAAAAACCCTCAACAAACTAGGTATACAAGGAGTACACCTCAAAATAATAAAGGACACATATGGCAAACATCACGCTAAACAGGGGAAAGCTGAAAGCAATCCCACTAAGAACTGGAACAAGACAATAATGCTCATTTTCACCACGCTTATTCAACATGGAACTAGAAGTCCTAGCTGAGTATTCAAGGAAATAAAAGCCATCTAAATAGAAAAAGAGGAAGTCAGATTATCTCCGTTATTGATAATATGATCTTATATCTAAAAAACCCTAAAGATTTCTCCCCCTCAAAAAACCTCTTAGATTTGATAACTGAATTCAGTAAATGTTAGGATACAAAAATCAATGTATGAAAATCAGTAGCATTTCTATGCATTAAAAACAAGATGAGAACCAAATCAAGAAGCAATCCCATTTACAATAGTTACATAAAAAATAAAATACCTAAGAATATATTTAACCCAAGAAGTTAAAGGAAGGAAAGCTACACAACACTGATTAAAGAAGTTGTAGATGACACAAACAAATGGAAAAACATCTCATGTTCATGGGTTTGAAGAAGTGATATTGTTAAAATGACCATACTGCACAAAGCAATCTGAGATTCAATGTAATCCCTACAAAAATACCAGTATCATTTTTCACACATTTAGAAAAAGCAATCCTCAAATTCATATGGCATTAAAAAAGAGCCAGAATAGTCAAGGCAAAAAGAACAACACTGGGAACATAACATTATCTCACCTCAAATTATACTACAAGGTTATAGCAATCAAAACAGCATGGAACTAGAATAAAAATAGATCAGTGGAACAGAATACAGAACCCAGAAACAATACCACATAACTACAGCCAAATGGTCTTTGACAAGGTCAACAATACTGGGGAAAGGACACCCTTTTTAATAAATGGTGCTCAGAAAATTGAATTGCCATATGCAGAAGAATGAAACTGAATCCCTCTCCTTCACCATATATAAAAATCAACTCAGGATGAATCAAAGAATTAAATGTAGGACTTGAAATTATACAAATACTTGAAGAAAACCTAAGGAAAAATCTTCTGGACATTGGTCTAAACAAAGAATTCATGACTAAGACCTCAAAAGCACAAGAACAGACAAGTGGAACTTTAAACTAAAAAGCTTCTGGGAAGCGAAGCAAAAACATCAGTAGAGTAGAAAGACAACCTGCAGAATTGGAGAACAAATTTGTAAACTATGCATCTGACCTGGGGACTGATATCCAGAATTTACAAGGAACTCAAACAACTCAACAACAACAGCAACAAAATAATAGTAATAATAATAATAAATAATCCCATTAAAAATTGGCAAAGGACATGAGTAGACATTTTTCAAAAAAAGACAAACAAAAGGCCAATAGGCCTATGAAAAAAATGCTTAACATCACTAAAGATTAGAGAAGTGCATATTAAAACCACGGTGAGATACCATCTTATTGCAGTCAGAATGGCTATTATTAACAAGTAAAAAAATAACAGATGTTGGTGAGGATTCAGAGAAAGGAAACACTAACACATTGCTGGTGGGAATGTAAATTAGTATAACCTCTAGGGAAAACAGTATGGAGACTTCTCAAAGAACTAAAAATAAAACTACCATCTGATCCAGCAATTACACTACTGAGTATCTACTGAAAGGAAAAGTTCATTACTCATAGGTTTCTCACAGCATTATTCACAATAGCAAAGATATGGAATCAACTTAACTGTTCATAAGTGGATGACTGAATAAAGAAAATGTGGCATACACATACGCACACATATGCGTATACATATATAGATATATATAGAACACACACACACACACACACACACACACCATTTGTATGTACATTATCTTAAATGAAACAACTCAGACAGGGAAAGTCAAATGCCACATGTTCTCACTTATAAGTGGAAGCCATACAATGGGTACACATGAACATAGAGTATGGAATATCGGCACTGAAGACTTGGAAGGGTGGGAGGTCAGGAGGGGGCGAGGGATGATAAATTACTTAATGGATACAATGTACATTATTTGGGTAATGGTTACACTAAAACCCCAGACTTCATGATTATCCAATATATCCATGTAAAAAAAAAAAAACTGCACTTGTACCACTTAAATTTACACAAATTTTTTTAAAATAAATTTATAAAACTCTGCACTTTACTGCCTAAGGTATTTACTGTGTCAATAACCCCCTAGTGATTACAAGAGGGATACCAACATATGTCAGTTGAAATAGTATTATAAACAACGAGGAACAATTGCTAATCTTTTTCAAGTAGTAGTCAGTCCTTTCATTGTTTTACGTTCTTTTGTTAAATGTTTAAAGTTCTCCTTGCACATAATGATACAACAGAATACCAAATATATCCCATCGATGGTATATTTTTAAACTATTAGAAAGAAAATATAATTTCTATAATTTAAAGGTGCGAATGTATGGTTTTCTAAAAATCAGCCCCCATTAATGCCTCATTTGCAATTCTAAATATTTTATAGCTTCCCATAAACGATTTTACCTTTTTTTCATAGGTGTGTTTTAAATGACTTTTCTCCATTTGAAACTTGTTTTCTTGATCCTGTGAATGATAAATGTTTATATTTATTATGTTTTAAATTATACTTCAGTCAATAAAATTAGCAATCTAATGAAATCAATCAATCTACTTAATGTCAAACTTTCCTTCAGAGTTTTGCATATTATTAAGTAAGCCCTACAGGTAGAAATATGAGTAGCTTTATATTACAAGGCATAAAATCTTAGTCATCTGAAGACATTACTATTCTCGAAAGTACTTGCTTTACAGTATAAGAAAAGCTTTCTGACCCTTAGAATTAAGAGATTACTTTAAAAATGAGCAGGTAAATCAATATGTGAATGATAAATGTGAAGTTATATCATATACCAGTCCTTGGTATTTTTTTGATCATGAGAGAAAAGATCTAAAAGGTGCAAAAGAGAGACAGAGGGAGAAAGAGAGAGGCAGAGAAAGAGAGATGGAAAGAAAAAGAGAGAAATTATGAAGACTGGCAGATAATTTAAAAGAAGGAAATTATTCTAAAACAGTAATATATTAAATACAATTTATTTTTGAAACTAATCTCAAAAGAGATCATTCAAATTCAAATTATTATACTTTATTCTCTACATCTCATTAGCATCTATGTCTGTTTAAATAAAATATAAACATATAATGCGATAAAAGAATCAGAAAAGACTGCCTGCATTTCTGAGTTTTATTTTTTTTAATTGACTCTCAATTATACATCTAAATCAAGAAAACTGTTTGACCACTGTTCTTCTCTGTAGAAATACAAGACTCACCCTTAGTTGTTGTTTTCTTTGAAGTTCTGTTTCCTGTAACTGCTGTTTTAATTGACAGACATTCTGTTCTAATTCTTCAATCATACTAGATGCCTAGAAGGATTTTAAGAATAAAAAGCAGGATATTGATTTTTGTACCATATTATACCTTCTGATTGAAAAAATATCCCTTTTTTACCCCTGAAAGTTCAGTCAGAATTAAAATTATCTAGAAACCTGAATGAAAAATGCTTTTAAAAGATAGTGGAAAAATTAATCTTTTAAAGTAAAAATATAAATTAAATGCTGCATAGTATTTAATATTATGAAAATGTAACACTGAAATAAAAATATAATCTTTTAAAGTAAAAATAGAAATTAAATGCTACATAGTATTTATTGTTATGGAAATATAACACACATAAAAATAATAGGTTTACAGAAAACTTCAAGATTTTAATTATAAAACTAAAGCAGAACTAAGATTTCAAAATAATAATAATGCATATACTCTATAAAATGTAATACTCATATAACTAAGCACTGGAATTTATATGTTTCCTCCTTTTAAAACTTTGGCACTTAAAATGATTAGCTTATAGCAGAATTCAGTTTATTACATATTTGTATTGTGCTACATAGTAGACATTTATAATTTTAAACATTTTAAATACCAATAAGAATTCTTGAGGTTCCTGTTAATTTAAGAACAAAGTGAAGGAGAGACTAATTTCAAATGCCAAATAATTTCTACTTGGCTATCTGTGGCTGTAGGCTGAGTGAATAAATACTTAATGTGGGTTATTTACCAACATAAATGATACCTTAGAAGCTGAAAGAGAGTGTTCTTGTTTTAGAACGTTTATGTCAGCATCATACTTGGTTTGCAACAGTTTCATGTTTTGCTCATGATCATTTACAAGATGCTCTTTCTCTTTATGCAGTGTGTTGCGCCTAAAAGCAAGAGGATAAAATAAACTTTCAATGTATTTAGAACCAATCTCTAAAATGAATTTTTTTAATCAACAAAATCCAAATACATCTCCATTCAACATATTAAATTAAGTATCCATATTTTTGTCAACTGCTTCTAAACATTCTGCTTATGTTAAAAACAGGTTGGGTACAGTGGCTCATGCCTGAAATTCCAGCACTTTAGGAGGGGCCAAGGCAAGAGGATCACTTCAGAAAAAGAGTTTGAGACCAATCTGGGCCATAGAGTGAGACCCTGTCCCTACAAAAAAATAAAAATAGAAAAATTAGCCAGGTATTATGGTGCATGCCTGAGGTCCTGGCTACTTGGGAAGAAGAGGGAGAATCGCGTGAGCCCAGGAGTTTGAGATACAGTGAGCCATGATCACGCCACTAGCCCAGTCTGGGTAACAGACAGAGACCCTATTTCTAAATAAATAAATAAACCAACAGCAGTATTTAGTTTAAAACTTCCCAAGGCTAAACGCACACGGTATAATAAATTTTGGCAGATAACTTACACAGTTAATATCAGTACTGTATAGCTATACCTGATAGAGATCTGATTTCAGACAATACCTTGCCTTTACTTCTTGTAATTCACTACACGTTATCTGGTAACATCTTTCAAGTTCCGCTTTTTCTTGAATTAATTTCTGCCTCTGTAAATTACTGTTCTCTGCTTCTCCAGTCAGCTGCTGGACACGGGCTTCCAGTTCTTTGATCATGTGGTTCTGAAAGAACAGATCATGGTTAAGAAAGCCTCTAACTCAGTTGTAATACTTTTGTATCAGTAATATTTTGAGGAAATGTATAGTCTATAAGAATAAATAAAACAAAAGTATCATAAACCATGGTAGTAAAAATTAAATCAACCTTGATATTAAAGAAGTCTTTAAAGAAATAACGCTTACTACCACAAAAATAAGATCATAGCTATATACTTTTAGTCTTTTGTTCATTTAATGAATATTTATGGAGGCTGGTAATATTCCAGTAAATAAGACAAAGTCCCTATCCTCAGGAATGGTTCAGCCTCTATGCTTCTTTATACATGTACCCATTAGCTGACTACTTACCAGTGTTCTTTGCTTTTCATATGAAGTTTTGAAAATGTGTTATAATTATGAAAGTAATGTAATAATATTTTAAAAGAAAATCCATAACACCCAAATTGTAACACAGGGTTCTCACATAAGTGAAAAACTTAGAAGTGTAGAGGAACATTTAATTAGTTGTAATGTTAGTGTGCAAAATTTTTATTCCTTTAACATCTTTACCATTTCATAAAATGCACTTCTCCACTGTTCCACAGTATTCAGTTTATCACTCAACTAAATCATTTCTCTATTATTTAATACTTATTTCTAATTTTTCCCCTTTGTAGAACTGCAATTTAAAATGTGGATAAAGATATTTATCAACTTTTAGATACTTTATCTAAAATTAGGATAAGGAAGCATTGCTAAAGGGACAATTAATTTTCAGTTTTAAAATTAAACTTCTAATCAGTGTGAATAATAAGGACAGGCTAATATGATGTTGTGGTTAATTATTGTGTTATACTTGCTCTAAGATAACCATTTAAAAAATTCAGGTTAAGCATTAAATAATGCTTCAATCCTGACATCCTTTCTTCATTTCATCCTTTCTTCATTACAATACCAAATATGTATACAAGCTAAATTTTAGTGTAACACCTTCCAATCTATAAAAATGACTTATCTAACTAGCATGATTTACAGATTAACTTCTTTAAATGCATATAATTCTTGACTGAAACACATCGATGTTTCAATTTCTTCTTCATGCATTTTATTCACTTTGCCTCTTCATTATTCCTCTGCTTTAGGAGCTCCTTTCAGAAAATAGTTTCAGTGTTCTAATATATAATCTAAACACCCTTTGTGTCCTGCATATTCATTGACTGAAAGAAACAAAGAACACATACTTTGCCTTCCAGTTTTAGATGGTGCAATAAAGATGATTTTTATTCCTTCTTTTCTTGGAAATCCAGAAACAGACAAGATAAACTAGAAATAGAAATGCAAATTCCATCCTAATAAACCCTGGAAAATGATATTCTACTATTGGCTATAAAGGAGTAGCTTGCAGCAGATCACACTCCCAATGATAACAACTGAAAAACCCAGACAGATTTTTTTTTTTGAGACATGGTCTCACTCTGTTACCCAGACTAGAATACAGCAGAGTAATCTTGGCTCATTACAGCCTCAACCTCCTAGGCTCAGGTGATCCTACGACCTCAGCTACCTGAGCAGCTGGGACTACAGGTACATGCCACCACAACTGGATAATTTGTGTATCTTTTTTTGGTGGCAATGTCTCTCACTATGTTGACCAGGTGGTCTCAAACCCCTGACCTCACACCATCCACCCTCCTTAGCCTCCCAAAGTGCTAGGATTACAGGCATGCGCCACCAGGACCAGTGAAAGATTTAATTTGTAGGAAGGTACTTGAGAACTTCTAAGGCAGTAGGGAATCCTCATAAAGATGAGGTATCATCCTGTAAGTTGCTTTTACCCTACAGGTATTTTCCAATGTTGGAGGATGAGGGTGGGGCAAGGAAACAAGGGTGGATGGTGGCCTAGGCAGCCAGGACTTAAGGAACCATCCCTCAGAAAAGCAACACACAGAGAAGTGGGCACCATACCAGCAGTTTTCTCCTCAAGAGAATTTGTCGAATCTTTTTCTTTTTCTTTTTGGAGATGGAGTCACACTCTGCCGCCTAGGCTGGATCTCAGCTCATTGCAACCTCCACCTCCTGGGTTCAAGTGATTCTCCTGCCTCAGCCACCTAAGTAGTTGGAATTACAGGAGCACACCACCACACCCGGCTAATTTTTGTATTTTTAGTAGAGGCAGGGTTTCACCATGTTTGCCGGACTGGTCTTCAACTCGGGACCTCAAGTGATCTGCCCAGTTTGGCTTCCCAAAGTGCTGGCATTACAGGTGTGAGCCACCATCCTTGGCCATATTTGTCAAATTCTTAACATTCATAGGGCAGGAAGCCAAGAAACCAAGTGAAAAAACACCAGAAAAGCACACTGGAGTTTTCTGCAGTATCACTGTACTTAGGAGTAAAATAGAATCCAAGGAGGAGAGCCCTTGATATTAATAATATCACAGGCTTTCGGTTGAGACCTATATTGAGGACTACCACTAGGAGGAAAAGTTAGTCAAAAGTAGGCCAAAGATCATAAAGACTGCAACCCAGCCTTGAGCCAATTCAGTCCCTGAACGGATCAGGTAGAATCTGTCTCTACACCAGCTGCCTCTCAGAAGTGAGAGCAGAGCCTCTCTGCAAGAAGATAACATTATCCAGAGCCTTTATTATTTTTCATGCACAATGTTTGGCAATTAATCACAAAATACAGACATACTGAGAAATAAAATCAGAAGAAAAAAACAGAAAATAGAAATAGACATGTAGATGCCCATACATTGAAATTGTAAAACATATGAGGCATGCGTTCTCCTAACTCAAAATATATGAGACGTCCCACAAAATAAGTGAAGATGAAATATAATTAAAGGAGTAGTCCAGAAGAAGAAGTCTCATGGCTGGAAATTCTAGAAAATCTCATCAGAACAGTTATACGAACTAAGTCACATGCAAATAACATCATTGACTCAATAATAACAGATGCATATGTTATGACTGTAGCTTCTTTCAGCATAATCTGGCATGAAAAAGAAGCGAGAAAGACTATGCTGAATGAAAAAGTCACATAAACCGTTTTTGCACAAAGCAACCTATGGATGAGACTGATTAACGGAAATAAATGACATTATAAGCAAATAAAAATTATAAGGGCAAACAATCAAAATAGAAAAAAACAAAATAGAGATCTAGCATTTGCCTAGCTGGTATACCTAAAGAACAGAAACAGTAGAACAGGAAAATACACTAAATGACATACTATGAGAAAACTATACATGAAAACAATATATAAATAGGAAGGGTACACTGTAAAAGTCACACAGAATGAAGAATGCCAAGACACAGGTAAAGTTACTAAACTTCAAGGAAATGATCCTTTTAAAGCATTAATCAGACACGTCACTCTCTTGCAAAATCCTTCAATGGCTTCTCTTATCACTCAGAATAAGAAGTGACTATCACCACCTTTGATTTCATCTCCTACCACTCTCCCCTCTCATTTACTATGCTCCAGCCATAATGGCCTCCATGCTGTTTATCAAAGTCATCAAGCTAGCCTCAAAGCCTTTCATTTACTGTTCTTTCTGCCTAAAGCATCTTCCTCCAGGTGCCTGCATAGCTCACTTCCTCACTTCTTTTAGTTCTCCACCTAAATGTTACCTTGTGAAGGAATCTTTCCGTAGAGCCACTCTACCTAAATAACCAGATCTCTACTGTCTATATTTTTCTGGGCTCTTAGCCTTTCTTTTGCTTTTTCTTTGTTGTTTGTTTTCCACAATAAAGTATAAGATCAAGACAGCCAAGACATTGCTTTATTTGCACTAGATCTCCTGTTTTTTTCTAGAATATTGCTTACCTTGTAGTAGGTATTCAATAAACATCTGTCAATTATGAAAACAGCTGACCTAGAACAATATGGGTGTGAACTGTGTGGGTCCACTTATACACAGATTTTTTTTTTTAACTAAATGGTGATCAAAATTACAATACTCAAAGGATGTGAAACCCACTTACACGGAGGGTCCAGTTTTCCTGTATCCAGACTCTACAAGGCCTACTGCAAGACTTGAGTATGTGCCAATTTTGGTATACACAGGGGGCCTGGAACCAATCCCCTGCACGTACCAAGGCACTACTGTATTCTTAAAAAACAAAAACAGGATAACTGCTAAAATGTCAAAATGTCCATTCCATATTCAAAACTGGAATGATTTCTGGCCATATTAAAGCATTTTATATGGTTATAACTGGGTTATAATGAGGAAATAACAAATATCTGTCCAATATAGAATATATCAAAAAAATTTTTGCATGTTCTATTAAAAATAGAGACAAAATATAAGAAATCCAACATACAGGTAAAGATATTCCCCTCCACATTAAAAGAATTTCTGAAAATCTATTTCCTTTTTTCTGCATATAAATGCAAAATAAATAAGAACATTATAAAATTTCAGAAAATACCAAATTGCTAAAGAAATAAACCAAGACAAAAGGGGTTGAATTACACAAATAAATAAATCCATAGACTTTGCCTAAAGAAAAAGGGTTTCTTTCAGCCAGAAAAAACAGACAGCCCTCTTTCTACAATATGAATAGTACAGTGGAGATGAGAGAAAAAATGCTCAGACAAAAGTATAAAACTATTTTTATGAGAGAAAGAAAAAAGAGATAAAAGGGAAATATCCAGAAATCAGAGAAGATAATGATGGACACTGAAGCACTATTGTGACCTCAGTTATCTGTACATCATTGAACAAAGTAACAGTAATTAAGTGAATTTGAAATTTTTTTTTGTTTTTGTTTTCATTGAGAGAGACTCTTACTGTTGCCCAGGCTGCAGTGCAGTGGCGTGATCTCGACTCACTGCAACGTCCACCTCCCAAGTCCTAATGCTTCAGTCTCCCAAGTAGCTGGGACTACAGGCATGGGCCACCATGCCCAGCTAAGTTTTTGCAATTTTTTTTTAAGTAGAGATGGGGTTTTAAAATGTTGGCCAGGCTGTTCTTGAACTTTTGACCTGAAATGATCTGCCACCTCGGCCTCCCA